TATATATATATATATATATATATATATATATATATATATATATATATATATATATATATATATATATGAACTAAAATGCAATATGTAAATAATCCTAAATATTAGTAATAATATCATTTGAGGAATAAATAATCCAACTAATCTTCTCCATCATCATCTTCCTCTCCTCCTCCTATGACGCCACTGTCGCTGCTCCCTCCTCTCTTCGTCCTCATCGCCTCCCTTCCTCTGATTCTGGGGTCGGCTTCGCCGACGGAGCCATCTCCTTGACCAAGATTCAAGAAGAGGTTAGGTTCTTCCATTTCGTCCAAGAAGTTAAGGGGGGTTTTTCTTGCCTCCGCAATTGATTGTTTTGATTCGTCTGGGTGCCCTACGTTGAGTCGGTTGTGCAAACTAAGCATCTTTCTCTGCTTTCCAAAGCGACGTTCAATGGTGTAATCCTTTGTGATGCAATCTTGAGGTTCCCAAATGATACAGGACAAGAAAGAAAGGGTTCTTTGCTTCTGGTAGGCAAGTTTTGTTAAGCACATGAGTCAAATGCCTATTATCTTGTAAATATTTGTGTAGGACGATGAAAAGCCTGCAATTATTATGATTCTGCTTCGTCTACAGGACATGTTCTTGAACCAAAACTATTTAGGTACCAATTTGTGCTTTTAGATTTAGCTGTTAGGTTATTTGTCTTTCTTAAGAGAAAACGTTTGTGAAGAACCGCTTCGCCTCTCTGTGTTCTTGAATAATTTTGTGCTATTTTGATCACCTTATATTTCTTCTGGTTGGTGGGAATTGAAATTCTAGTTTTCTTTAAGAGATTGCCATTATTTCACGGCATGTTTTTAGAATTTGGTTCTTATTCTATTGAGACATTCAGGTTGATTAGTACATTATTAACACAAGTGATAGGTCCAATGAGACATCCAGGTTGATTAGTGCATTATTGCATTAGTGATAGTTCTCATGTTCGAATTTACGTGTGAGCGTATGCCTTTTTGATGTAATGATTTTTCTTTTTTTTTAAGAACTAGGTTCTTCAACTCTTCAAAGATTTGGTTTCTTTAAAGTTTATGATTGCATGTTTACTTTGTGGGCTTAATGGATCTCTTTGCTCTCTTCTTTACGGACAAGGTTGCACACACACAAGGAGCTGGAGAATCAAACACTTGCAACATCAGGGTGACAGGCATATATGGCAGGTATTCTTTTATGAGGTAATGTGTTTGCATTGTCTTCTTTTTTTCTGATGGTATCTGTTGGACAAACATATCTGAAACTCTGTTCTGACTGAATACCTTTAAAGAAAAGTATACCACTGTTAAAATAATAGAAACAAACTAAATATTGTTGACTGAAAATTGGTATCAGAAGAATTTAAATTCATCTTTTGATGCAAAAGTTTTTGCAGCTCTGATATCTACCAAGCTGTACAACAGTAGAAGAACCATTTGTCTTGAAAGAAAATAAGGATCAAGTAGTTGAAATTTTTATGAAAGCATCAATTTAGTGGCTGAACTTAACAAAGGTAAAAACAAATCTGAATGGACAAATGGAAACAATTGGCCCATATGATAAATAATTATCAGAGAATGGCATTGCAAAGTATTAATTCTAGGTGTAAAGTAGTTTACTCTTCTCATTGTTCTATAGGTTAATATTGGATGGTGCTCTATATAGCACATGATCCCTACCGAAGGTAGGTTTCTTATCAACTAATGAGTCTTCTATGCTACTACAGCAGACTGCCTTTCTTAGTTTAAGGTTTTTCTTCGAGGATCTTATTGAGGGTTGATCAGAAAACATCTGATCACTGTGTATCAGATAACATAGTATCTGATAACTGTGTATCAGATAGTGTATCAGAAAACATGTGTTGCAGTGGATGGCTCTCAGGAAACTCGGACTATATTATGCATGTTAGCACTGTTGTTTGAATTTGTTAATACATAATAGGGATACAGCTGATCTTTCTGCAAGAATAAGTTTCTGGAACTATGATTTTTTTTCTCTTTTTCTCTTGTTATAATTGTTTCTTATTCTGTATGGATTATATATTGCTATTTGGAATCTTACAATTAGCCAATCATATAGTGAAGATTTGAAAGTTAAACCAATCAAGTTGATTCCTGCTTTTTTTCTTTTAATACTGAAAGTGTCCTTTCTTTATCCTGCTTTTATTTTGGTTTGTTGAATTTCATATACTTGTTTGTTTTTTCCCATCTATGGTCTAATTTAGGTTAACGTTGAATCGATCTAAATCGGTTCGGAATCACCTGAATCAGCTAAAATTGGTCAACCCAATTCGATTCAGGTTCAACTTAGAGGTTAATTGGGCTCCCTAAAGAGAGTCAAAACAGGGCTACTGGGCCAACCCTAGCCCGAATCCAACCCATAGAGTGTGACGTGCAGGGCACGTGCAATGGAAGAGGGGCGGTCTGCAGGCTGGGCTGCACGAAGTGGCGGCGCCTGGGCCAGGCCGTTTCGGTTGTAGCCTGTAGGCCACACGGAGTTGGGCCACTCGCAGCGGGCTGCTTAGCCCATAACTGCGCCGAGCCGATCAGGCTGTACTGGCCTGGTCCAGTCGAGCCACTAGACTCGAGTCGAACCCGAACCCAGGCTCAAGGTCGCGCCGGACCGAGCCATAGGTCGGGTCGGGTCTGCACGTCACCGGGGTTAAACCAGGCTGCAGGTTGTGTTGGTTGGGCCTGATCGAGCCCGACCGCCTGGTCTGACTCAGATCCGATCTGAGTCAGATCAATTTTAATTCTGATTTTCTATTTAATTCCTTTTTCACAGATTTCTAAAATTCTACAGTAATTCAAATAATTGATAAAAATTTCAAAAAAGTGAATTTTTATATGCATAATCATTTAAATAAAATAACAGCATGATTTACAAAATCTCAACACTACTTTTCATGAATTAAAATATTAACAACCAAAAAAATTGAATTAAAAATTCTGTAAATCATAAAAAATATAGATGCAACCTACACAATTAACAAAATCAGATCAACAGTATAATCAGATTGTACAATCTATAATTTGGGTTTTGAACAATTTCTAATGTTAAATATCATGTTCTGCATTCTAAAATTTGCCACAATCGATAGAAAATTCTTTAAAATTATCGTTGAAGGATCAGGGGGCTTTTTTTTCTTTCTTTCTTTCTTATAAGGTTATTTTCTTTCGAAAGTGTCGTACTCAGTCGTATCGAAGACTTTCTCACACAGCCCCGTCTTTTTTTTTTTTTTTTTTGATTGCGTGCAGGGCCTTCCGGTGGAGGTGGAGTTGGTGTTTCCTTGGCCAAGTATTTATTTTCTACGTGGAAGTCCCAGGTATGCCCGACTGCTTCCAGCTTCCACGGCAAACAAAGCATTGCGTAGCCGTCAAGCTCCCAGTAAAAGGAATAAAATAAAATAAAAAGAATAGATCATATAATGAATAGATCATATAATGAATAGATCATATTAGTCCACACAGCCCAAACAGAATGGGGGGCCCAAATCACATCACACCCCATCATCTCGACTCAAAACGGAAAAGAAAAAGCACGCCCATTTCAGACTTTTCAGAGGAAGCATCGATGGATGTATGTCGACTCAGAAGAGCTTGTCAGAGGCGGAGGCTGCATCCAGAGGATGGATGAGATAGGTGAGGAGTAAGGCAGCCAGCATCAGCACATAAGCAATCCCTTGGTCGATCGCCACCCCTGCACCATCACAGTATTAAGGTTCTTTCGCATCGAAGAGTCGGACATAGATAGATTACACCTACATTTAGAGGGAGAAGAGAAGAGAAAGGAAGCATGACTCACCGTCGCTGGTGGGAGCAGGCGCCGGCGCCGGAGACTGTGCCCGGACGGCGGGCACCAGCACGATAGCGGACACGAGGGCCACGACGACCATCAGGAAGGAAGGAACCCGAGCCATCTCCCTCCTTCTTAAGAACACCGGAAAACCCAAAGTGCGCAAGGATAATCCCCCCGCCCCCGAACACAAACAGAGGAGATCAGCACGCGCAGAACCTCACAGCCCGAACGGAATGTGCTTCTCTTTTCCTATGCTTTCCTCGCTTCTTTCGTATGCCAAGGGGTGGGAAGAGGAGAGCTTTATAGAGAGACCAGAGGGAGACGGAGGGGCGGCCCGCGGACGCGTAACGCGACCGCTCCGGGGCCCACCCACATGCAACGGCCGGCTGGCTGGGGCCCGCCCGCCAGCCTGGATTCGGGTCCCTTGCCTGATTCTCATAGTTCTACTTACGCTGGCGAAGTCGCTACCCGCTCCGGTACCAGGTGGGACGGACGCGGATCAGCTTTGCATGTGGTCGAGTGCCGACCACTCGATATCTTATTAAGAGCTTGTACCGAGGATGAACAAAAATAATGGGTTTAGCTGATTGAGAGTCATGCTGGAATTGGGTGAACAAGATCATGGGGATCCAGCGAGGCGTTGTTCCTTTGTTGTGCAAAGAGTCGGATAGTTGGATTAGGTCTCTGGGACCAGAGAGACATGCTGAATCAGGACAGGAAGAAAGAGAAGCTGGGTAATCAAAATGCTCAAATCATCCACAATCGATAAAGAATATATATATTTTTTCGGTTCCTTGTAATGTTCTGTATCAGAACTTAAAATCACATTCGATTCTTATTCTTCTGGCCTGATAAGTTTATTTATTTTCTTTTTAATAAAGGAGGAGCTTTATAATTCAAATTGCTTGTGGTCACATCGTTGCTCCTGCCGTTACTCATCGAGTGAAGCATCCTGCCAAAAACAATGAGTGTGAAGAATCCTCCAGCTGCGATTCGAGTGAAAGGGTCTCTGGGTCTCTGGTGGTCCGGTGCCTTCTCAACTTGGATCCAAGATCCAGAAGAATCATAGATTCATTCCTAAGCTTCAAAGAAAGGCTCTGATAAAGTGGTGTCAGATTTATTGTTGTGATGCATCGACCATTTCAATCTGACAAATGCTTCAGTTACATCACCTCATGGCCATGGTATATCCAGAGTCTCTCACCTGTCACACCGAGGCTAACAATTTCCAGTTCATTATTCCAATGTAATTTCTATCATCCAATGCTCACCAAACTTCAGTTAGCGTTGGTCGATACATTTCTTCCGATGAATCCAGGTAAGCATCAGCTGTGGAGAAAACATGAATTTGTACAGCAGAATCGTCTTCCGAGCAGTGTGGATTAACATCACATTAAGTTCATGCACTTCTTTCCTGTCAAGCAAGTAAAATTGATGTATACTTTTTAAGTCAACCAGGGGTGGTTACTCAAGCTTTGTTATACTAAGAAATAGCAAGAATACATGAAGAGTTCAAGGTGATCGGTTACACGAAGCTGAGGCATTGGTCTCCCCCTGTCATTAGATGGCATTTCCTCGAAGAACTGCAACACCCTAGGACACTATCATAGATGCAAACTACTAGGATCAATCACCCAAGCACTTCAAGTCGCAGGATTATTATGTTGCCCATCGGCACAAGTGAGCATATCTACTGTTATCAAGAAACTGAAAAAAGGCATTCTCGATGAACATTATGAATCTGGCTTTTAATGCATCAACTAATAGAAACCTCAAACCTGATATGTTTCTGTGTTGATTGCTGATCCAGGATATTGCAAGCTGGTAGAATGTGAAGGCAAATCAAGTGCTAATTCAGTCGTGTGCACCTACCCTTCAGAACCTCAGAGCAAGTAAGAATGAATTTAACATCAACCAAGAAATACATTTGGACGGTAATAAAACCAATTTGGAACAAAACCTCAAAACACATTGATTTATGATTCCAAAACAACTGCTTGACAAATAGACCCTTTATCCCAGCATGGTTCTGGATATGTAAGCGCTTCGTGCTGCGGAACTGGAGTTTCCTGTCCAATGATTTGCTCTACTCATCTTCGAGCAATCTCGTTCTCCAAACCAAAAGATTTTACAGTTTTTCTCTTTTTCACCTTTGAAATAATTTATCTGAAATACCATCACACTTGACCAACAGATTCCAGTTATTTGAGCTTATCTATCAACAGAATCATGATTCCCCTCTTCGCTCAGCAGCAATTTCCTTTAGGGTGTCCAAGGCCAAATTTGTTGTTGCTGGCAAGTCTACAAACGTTTGAGCAAGAGCAAAGTACATCTGCAAAGAAATCATGCAAATTATGATGCCCAAGAAAAGCTGCAAAAAAGATGTAACTTATTAAACCAGTGGAAACTAGTATTTTTACATTTTACAGTCATGGCTTTGCGGTGAATGGATCAGACAATATAAGCCATTAGATTAATTAATACTTTCCAACATGTCAATTTCATCTTGTAGACACAAGATTAACTGAAAAAGAATATAGACAAGACCATCGTGAGCAACATTGCCATGGAAGTTGAATATACCTGGAAAATAATAAGAACCAAGATATTGAGCTGAAACTAAAATGTGTACAAAAGCATTATATCTATTTAGATTTATCAGATTCCTTGAAAGGGACCAAATTTGTAAAGATGGAAATAGGTAACAATACAGTTCAAAGGAATCCAACACCCTAAATTTGACACAATCACATAAATTCGAATTTTGGTTCAATCAGCGTGAGAAAGGCAGTAGTCAAACTGTAGAGTATAGTTACGATCACCATGTTAGCATGTAGATGATGTTCCTATTTGGACCTGTTATGGCACCTTAATACCATCTGAAGATCGGGCTTTAGCATCACCCACTGGTGTAAATACTTCCTAAATATGAGGTCTAGGGCTTGAGTCACGGAAACTTCTCTGCTTGCAGGGGGAAAAGCTGGGGCAAAGGCTGCAGAAATTGATCCTCCCAAAACCCCACATTAGTGTTCTTTGTCTAATTATGAAGTATGCATCTTATTATGCTAAAGTTGATGTTACACACAAAACCAGAAAAGCAAACAATTTCGAGAACCTATCTCAACAAGTTCAATATAACAACAAAAATAAAACAAGACCATCGTGTTAGATGTTATAAACGAAAAAATGATGTCATGCCCTGGTGAAAATATTGTGAAACCCATCATTCCTCAAATCTCAAAGATGATAACATTATATGGCTGTTATTTGTAAGTGATTGGGTTTGACCATACTAGCAACTTAAAATAGCATATTACAGCATAGCCTAGCAGTAGGTTGCAGGATCTACCTTCACAATATTATCTGCATATTTCATCAACCACGAAACTAGTAAGCCAGAAGAACCAAGATTTAACACAACCAGCCATGTTGTAACAGTGTATCCATCAAGGAGACGTTGCCACCAGGGTCCATATTCAAATCCAGCTCTAAAATCATCCAGCTTAAGCCATGCCATGTTAAAAATTGCGCCAAACCTGACAGTAAAAGGTACCACGAGTAACTGTTAATGTATTAACAACTATCTAATCCATGATTCTGTAGCTTCTAGTTCCAGAGAAAGATGTTAGCGAATGCCAACACAAGTGTAACAGCAAGAAGTTACACAAAGGTAAGTATAGACACCTACATATATAACTGCACATTCTGCCAGTATAGGCTGTCATTGTTCTTCTTCATCAGGTATTCTGTATAAACACCAACTAAAGCGGAAAGACAAGCAGACAGGAGCCCGAGCATGTAACCCTTGATAGGTGCTGAGAAAAGGGAATCACAAGATGCCTCTCCACAACCTTTCACCTGCAACATATTCCCAAGAAAAGAATAAGAAAAACATGCAGTGATTAAGTAGTTAATTTACTTAAAATTTAACAAACAAATTGGCAAAATAGGAATTGTTATCATTTGTCAAATTTTGAAATAAAATATTAAAAAAATCCTTTCCCAGAACTTCAAATGACTGTAGAAAAAAATTCAAAAACAACATTTTTCCTGGCAAGTAAAGCCACAATTGTGTCAACTGTGAAAGAAAAGTATTGATTGCAGTCAACGATCATTAGCACATAAAAGAAATAGATTAAGCAGACTACTTCAGGAACAGAATAACTTAACACTTGAAACATTGATGGTTGCCCCCTAAGGATATAGCATGATTTAATTACAGTTCCAACTAATGTCAGAACTGGAATTCCTGATTTCAAGTGTTATGTTATTATATGTTCACCTTGTCATAAATCAAAGAAGACCACTGTAATCAACCCTCATTCATGTTAAGAAACTAGCTTGATTTGCTTTCCAATTTGAGATATATGGAGTGGTTTCTCAATTTAAATGTTACACTAAAATCAGGACACTCATTCTTGTCATGCTTCAACAAGATATTGTCTGTCAATCCATAAAGAATCCACCCTCTCAAAGAAAGACCAACTAGCAAGAAAGGCTTCCAACATGGCAGTGACTGTGTCACTGTTATCGTATCTCCATCACTATATATAAATATGTTTTTTGTTAAAAGTTGATATTAAGCTCAAATATAAGGTTTGATAAAACAAAATCAAACATGTAAGATAAGTTGCCTGATTTTTTACAAGAAAACATAATGCTTCAAGTAAAAACTAGATGTTGTGCATGATGGCTTCAACGAGAACAGTACCTGAATAAAATACCAGTGGTAACAATTTTCAGATTACCCAAATATGTTGATGGGTCCACATAAGTCAAGGTAGCGAACTGAACATTGTTGTGAACAAGATATACGATAGAAGGAATGGGGAATAAATGGACAGTCTTCCATTCTCTAGTCATCCGTGGAGGGGAAGATGATTGGCACTCTTTCCCAAGGAAAAAACTAGATACCAGAAGCTGAAATATAAAAGGGCACATAGATAGTATAAGGATGGAAACAACTTATTAACAAAAAAAATCCAAGATAAGAAATTATATTATCTAAGTACAAGATCTGAAATTGTCTCATAATATGTTGCAACAGAAACATCAGGCGGGCTTTAGAAATAGCCCAATGGTACCTTAAATACTTCTGCAAGAAATGGAACAGTAGCATAATCATATCTGTATTTTCCATGACTTTGTGACAGTGTTGTCAAAATTCCCTGGGATACATACAAAGGCACAAAAGTTATTTGTCAGTTACTTCTCCAGCTGTTCAGCATATATTTGTAAAAAAAAAATTTCCCTCTAAAATTCCTTACCACTAACATAATCTTGGGGAAATAAAGTATAAATTTCTTTTAAGTATGACAAGTTAGATTCATGAATGATTCTTGCAAGTTTCAACACCTATAAACTTTTAGCAAATCCAAGATCCTAGTAATGTGATCAGACTAAATGTTGCCTTCATAATACTAAGTGATAACCAAGTATCCAAATTGAAGAGAAGATTTACAAGGACAGAACAGTAGAACAATTCATCATGCAAGGATTCCCACAGCAACCAACAAGGTAGACCTAATAAGATTTTAAAGTTAAACTATTATAGAAAAGTAAATGGGTTTGACATAGAAATCAATCTTTCCAACCCATCAACATCCAAACCATCAAGATTCACCCCAAGAAGAAACAAAAATATTTCTCCTCTTCACTCAAAGAGGCTACAGGTTCAACAGATCTCTTCAAAACTATGAACCAAGGGAACTGTACCAGCAATGTGGTTCATTATAGTGTATCACAAGAAACTTTAACCCACCAGACCATTTGTCATCTTAATGCCATTTCAGATACCCATATAGCCCACCAGCTCACCAACCGAAGCTGATTTTTCCAAGTGTCATTCTGTAATTTATTTGGTTATCTCAATCAGCTTCGTTAACCAACTCAACCCGTGGTACCAAGTATCTCACAGCAACTTTGTCACGCTTACTATACAACAAAGTCAGATAATGTTCTCAACCTACATATACAGACAAACAGGTTAACACCAAGCAACAAACCAAGTCACCATATATCAACATAACATGTCTTTGTATTTCCTATCACGTGGGACAAGGACACCATTCATATGACAAAAACGCTGCTGAAAAAGTTTTGTTGAAAAAATATTTCTACAGCTATAAAGAAAAATGGCACCAAATTATGTAACAATTGAAACATGCAAATTTTTTATTCCACTAAACATAACAACATTTTCTAAAAAGGTAAAAAGATATTAGCCAGCGAGAATTATTCAAATAAAACAAAATATGTGAACAGCATGATATTGATCAGTCTCTGCTGATACTTAAAATTACATTTCAAAACTTCAAGAAGTTCACAATTCTTTTTGCTGTCCATGCAGCACTCCAAAAGTACATTTCAAAACTTACAGTTTGACTAGATGCAGCAAAACTCTTGGTCAAGTCAACTGTACCATGTGATGGTTAGAAACTTCTCAAGGTTTTTATAGATTATAGAAGTTTTTCAAATATCTAGTCTTGCACAGTCTGGAAAAATGTCTTTGCCCTAACAAACTTCAGCATAGCATAGAAGTCCTTTCAACTGTTAGACTCCACATATAGCCTCCAGTTAGCATCCAGCTAAAAAACTCAGGCAAGCCACTTGTAACCATGATTGATGTTAGCTGGTTTGACATAAGCATAAAATAACTATAGTACCCTTTATATTCTTGCCATCATAACAATTAAGAAACATAGCTTTTAAAGGGTACTGATATCAACCTAAACATTTAACTGACCAGTTAGATGAATGTCTTATATGCAGGTTTTTGGGTTTTATAGTGGCATGCATATACTAAAATTAAATTTAGAGAGAGAAAGATGAAGTTCATTGATTTTGGAGGAATTGCCTGAAATTTTGCCTTCTTTATTAATTTTTTTATTTTATCTTAGGAAGGTCTCAATTTTTGAAGAAAAAAAAACTAACCACCATGGCTTTCAAAATGGAAAGATTTTTCACTTTCACATGGAAAATATTCCTTCTCTCATCGCAGCCGATACCTTCATGTTGGCATTATCACCAATGTGGAATATCACGAACTACGAACAGATTTGATCCACTAGGCACCCAGGTACCTACCAATAGCTGACATCTGTTCCAAATTCCTCAAGACAGATTAACTTACAAAGAGATTTAGGATTTACAATATTTGAGACAAATTACAACCTCAAACCGTACAAACGGCTCTTACCCAAGAAACGCGCGCCCGAGAGGGAGAGAGAGAGATCCATCAGGCATTTTTCAATCTTGATGATGCTGCAAGGACTCGAAAAGACTAAAGGAAAACCTGAGTGTATCTTCCTGCGAGTCATAGCCGCCAAGAACAGGTAAAGTTCTTGAACCTTTCATTGGTGGTTTGGTGAAGGGACCAAATTTATCGAATGAGCAAGCAAATTTAAAGCGAACGATGAGAAGGACATCAAGAACGGGATAAAGATGAGGAGACAATGGCGGGGATTAGAGACGATTGGTGAGGAGAGTGTGAGAAGAGCCACAACCAAGTACCAACGAGAGAGAGAGAGAGAGAGATCTTTATGATGTTGCAAGAACTCGAACGTGATAACAGATAAGATTTCCCCAACTATATGAGGAAAGCTTCTTCAATAAAGTTTCTTCAATAATTCTTCTTATCTTCTATTCTTTCCAACATGGTACCAGAGCAGGTGAGACGAGCGAGGCTCCACGGCCATCGAAGCTTGCTATTCACCATATCCCTTGCCTCTACAGAGTAGAGAAGGGGGGAACTCTTTCCCGCCGGACTCACTTCCCCGTCGGACTCCCCTCTCCGTCCACTGTACGATCGTCCGCTGTACGACGCGTGATGCCTTTGCTGCTACCCCAGTCGTTGCCATGACCACACTCGGCGTCGCCATCAGGTGCGACCACAATAATGAGGGCCTGTTTTGGTGCGACCGGCTACTCGCCCTCGGTAGTGGATCCCTCTCCAACCCCTGCCCGCTCCTTCCCTCTTCTCCTCCATGTAGCCTTCTTCTTCATCGGCGCCGCCTGCACCGACCCCAGGCTCGGGTTGTCCGTCGTCGTAGCATCATCTTTATCAGGCTGTGATCTGCATCAATCACAGCCCGCTGCCTCACTGTCAACTGTCGATCCTCAACTCCTGCTAAGAGCAAATTGTTGCAGCTTTCTCCTCTGCTGCACCTCTGTTGCAGCTTTCTCCTCTACTGCAGCTTCCTCCTCTGCTGTAGCTACCTTCTCTACTGCACCTCTATTGTAGCTTCTCCTTTACTGTAGCATCGCTGCAGCTTCCTCCTCTGTTGCAGCTTCCTCCTATGCTGCAGCGGCCGCGGCCGCCGTCGCCGTCGCAGCATCAGCAGCGATATGCTCTTGCCCTACTCACGAAGCCTCTCGCTCGTAAACTGCTTTGCATCGATCCAAGATTGGTATCATTGACAGAGCAACATCTTGCAGGGGTATGATAGCAGATAAGATTTTCCTAACTATATGAGGAAATCTCTCTACTCTGTTGAGAGAAATCCTCTATTCTGTTGAGGAAAATTCTCCCTTCTAATCTGTATAAATAGGAGAGGGACATATTAATGCATTCAAGCTTCTTCAATAAAGTTTCTTCAATAATTCTTATCTTCTATTCTTTCTAACAGAACGCACTAAAGAAAAAATTGATCGCATCCTCCCACAAGTCATAGCCGGCAAGAACAGGTTAAAGTTCTTGAATCTTTCACTGGTGATTTGGTGAAAGGGCCAAATCTATCGAATGAGCGAGCAAATCTAAAGCGATCGATCAAAAGAATACCACAAAATGGGAAAAAGATCAAACCTGGTAACTGGCGAGGAGAGTGAGCAAAGCCGTAACCAAATACCAAGGCATCATCTACCGTTCTTGTTCTTTCGATCCAGAGATGGCTATTATAACGACGATATATGCGAATACCGTGTTCACTAAGCCACCGATTGTGGGTGTTTTAATCGATGGATCGCCCGATTCAATTAAAGCCGAATCAGCACTGAACCCGGTTCGGTTTGGTCCAATCCTTTGATTTCCTGTGGAAATTAAGATTAAGACGGAAGAAAATCGTGATCCTATCGAACAAACAAAAGAATGTTATTCCCAATCATAATCCTTTGTTCTCTAGTGGCAATTATGTTAACTTGACAGCGAAATCTGATGCGTTGGTATGTATTTGGCTCAAAGACTAATAAGCTACATCAGCCACAGCCACACTGCATGATCAACCATGTCAAATTGAAAGAAATACAACCCATCCAATTATAAGGATCAAGATGTCACCAGTAGAGAAATGTAGGTATTTATGTTGCAGAAGACATGGCTCACTCAGCTTGGAGCATGCCAACAATTATGAAGGCAACAGAATCTGAAATCCATGAGAAGTGTAGGAGAACCCCAAAACATGATGGTTGAAAATCTCTACAGAAGAAGTAACATCAGATATCATCATTTGCTTGGAAAAAGATACCACTGTCATAGGACTAATATCACTTACTGTAGACAACCAGTTACATCACAGGCATAACCTTCTATGTAGCTGCTGTACATCATGCTAACCATTCTGGTACTTTAGGAGAAACAGCATATAGCAACAAAAGAAAACCCTATTTACCACAAACAAGCTTTTCCGCAAAGAGGCTTCCATCAATGAGCGCAGGGACAAAACACTAACATTTAGATTGCTATCTTGTAATGATCAACAACATGGGTTTTACGATGGATGAAAGAAGGGATCTTCTTTGTTCTGGTATATTGTGAACAACTGCTTGGAGTATCGATTAGCGAGCTTGTGACAGTAATCAATCGCTTTTCGATCATAATTCTCCAAGTCCTTGACAGATTTCTTTAGCGGGCCAAAGGGATCACCATCTGTAAGAAACTCGGCCACTCTAGACCCCCTGAGACAAAAAAAATGTCTGTCACTGATATACAAATACCATAGCACAATATCTCAAATTCAAGATGAGTTATGATAGAATAATCCTGTATACATACAAGCATGAAATTGAGCACGGGAAGGTTATCAATTATCTATCTACTTTTGGGATGAGAAAAACTATATCAAACAGCTCCTATTTCGACAAAGATCTAATAAGCTTTTATTTAGATATGTTTGACCATCTCTACACTTCCATCTTAGTGACACATTTTATATCCATAATTTCCTTACTGCCCCAAATCCTGATCCATGTAGCTCGTAGCTGGTCTTACAGTCATCTTATAGAATTTTCCTTGTAGACTATGGGGCACAAGATGAAAATACAGAATTCAACCACAAATCATAAGTAATAAGTCATTCAGGTTACGATACAACTAGACAGCACTCTTTTAAATATGGTGAAAATGTTGGAAATGAAATACAATGGTTTGGTGAGAGCAAATTACTCGAGAGGCAATGTTGATAAACATATTACACGCTACCAGAATTTGGGGCATCAATCTGGATCAGGATTTCCGGCAGTAAGGAAATCTCGAGTAATAAGCATATTACCTTTGAGCATCAATCTTGCTGAATCCCCGCCTGTTGGTAAGCAGTGTTTCCTTCGCAGACTGCTCATCAGATGTTTGCTGCCGATAAAGAGCACAAACAGCTTTCATACAGAGCTCAGGATCCTTGGAAAATGATGATAGCATATCTGCCTCAAATTCCCAAACTTTAGTGTCCTTTTCACGGCGTATATTGGCTAAGACATTGTCAAGATCTAAATCACTACCCTCTTCTTCTTTAGAAGAAGAATTCTCTGAACTAGGTTCACTTTCAGGATTATCCGAACTGCTTACAATGAATCCACCCAAACTTTCACCATCACTCTCTGAACCAATGTCATCAACCTCATTCCTTCCATTTACTTTGTCCTCTTCATCATCGTCACTATCCGAGTACCCAAGCTTCCTGCATTCTGTCACCTTGTTTCTTGAAGTTCTGTTCTTGGCACTAGGAGTCGATGGATTGCCAGGTGACTTTCCTTTCACTGAGCTGTCTGATCTATAAACTTCTCGTAATAAAACCAAACGCCTCCTTGAGGGGACCATATCCTCCACGACGTGGCTTGATTCTTTGTTCTCTTCAACCACACCCTCAACTTGCCTCAACTTAAGTTTGCTGATGGGAACATTATCATCAACATCATCATCGTTCTCACTGTCACTAGTGACTACTCTAGAAATACGCTTCCTTTTAGGTGTTGGAACTGATAGAACACCATCCATATGGCTGTTATCATCTTCCTGCAGTACAAGATTTCTACGTTTATCAGAACGCATCACCTTAGGACTCTGGCCAGCCACCGATTCATTCTTCACATCTACAGCTTTTTCCACTAAATGTTCCTTCACCTCACAATCTTTAGTTAGTGTTTCATCGTCACTGTCACTGATCTCAATAACTTCCCCTGGTAAAGAGTTCTCCTTGTCCACTGTAGCTGGATTCTTTTTTGGGTCGGAAGCATTTTCCACATGCGGCAAGACCCAAGCTTTTGTTTTCCCCTTCTCTTCTTCTATCTTTATCTCCGTTCCTCTCAAGCCTCGATTCTCATCCTCCAACTCTCTACATTTTCTCCAACAGCTGTTTAAGCCGCCCTTCTCCTTCTGCAGCGCAAGCATGGTCGCAATTGTTTCCTGAGCCCTCTGTTCCCTCTCGCCCGCAAGCCTACAAGCTTCCCATAAACGCGAGATCTCCTCCTCAAGGCTTGCACAAGCCCTCCTATGCTTCTCATCCTCTCCACCCGGACCAAGCTTTCCACCATCGGCATCTTGAAACCTCGCCTCCAACAAGGAGTACCTCTCCTTTTCCTCCCTCAACTTCCGCTCCAATTCCGCCCTCTCAACGCCGAACCCCTCTTCGCCCTTCTTGATTCGCTGCTCCAGGTCAGCGCACCTGGTACTCAAAACCCCTAAATCCCGCTCGAGGCCCTCGATTCGCGCCTCAAGTTCGATCTTTTCGACCTCCTTCATCGTCAACTCCTCCGAGAAACTCCTCTCGATCTCGGCCTTCAGTGATGCCTCCCTCGAGATGAGAGCGCTCTCCGCCTTCTCGAAGTCCGCCTTCCGGAATGAGGACTGGAGGAACTCGATCAGACGCGGGATGCTCATGGACTCCATCTCCGGCGAACAGTTACCGGAGGAGGAGGAGGAGGAGGAGAAGCTCGGAGGAGTGGCCGGAATGTCGGTCGCGGGTTTGTGCCCCATCGGAACTTCAACCCTAGTGCTCACCAGAAGTGGAGGAAGATGGGACGTGACGAAGAGTTAACGACGTCGCAAGAATACCCGTGTCGACCTCATGATAAGCCCATTTCCCAGGTACGAGCCCAAGATACGGCCCATTAAAACTTCGAGCCCGGTCCAGCTTCTTACCCGATCCGAATCGACCTTGGCTTCATCAACACAATAAAAAAATAGATTTTGATGATTAAATATAATTTTTCTTGGGCGAATTCTCGAAAAAAAATTGAACTTTGATTTTTTTTTGTAAAGCACCCTTATTTTAAGAAATATATAAACAGCACCTACTTTTTAAAAAGATAATGTTAATATTAGAAAATCGCGTAGGTTCACATAGAATTAAGTCAAATAAAAAATTTATTTAACTTAGAATCGATGCTGTTACTATATACATCGTTGTTTCATATTTATCAATCGATGTGATCTATGTTGTATAATCATTTATCTTCAATCGCTCTCTATTTCATTGTCATTATGTAGTGTACCTTTTAACCTCCAAGCATTATCGATTTTGTGTATCAATATATTTAAAATTGAATTGTTACCTATGAGCATTAAATTCTGTTGTCAACGATCAATTTCTTTAAGCTTCTATTTCATTGTTGTCTCATTGTTTACGATAGAACTTTGAGGATTCTTTAAGATACGTCTTTATTTCTATATGTTAAAAAATATGAACATTTGGTTTATTGTGTAGCTAAGGTTCTATTGATGTTTACTATTATAAACAATATTATAAAAACTTATTGTTTTACTATCAATATTTTAATTTTTTTATATAAAAAATATATAAAACTATATATTATTTTTACCAATTTATTTTATTTTCTAATAGATGATGTAATATTTTTGAGAAAAACTTTAAGAATAGTGCATATGCATCACATAGATATACTATTCAAAATGATATAAAATTTTTAGGAAGACTTTGAATATGACACTTATGGGCATATGTCATTATTTTTTATTTTCTTTTTTTTTTGATATTTTTATGGATTTTTTAGCATATGAACAGTGTGTGATTTTTATTTTTATTTCCTTATTTTTTTGTATTTCTAACACATTATAATGCATACATGCAATATTTTTATACTTAAGCTTCTAAATTGGTCAAAAATTGGTCTTAAAAAAAATTCAACAGTGCATCACATAGATGCACTATTTATTTAAAATGGTCTTATTTTTTTTGGAAAACTTTGAATATGACACTTATAGACAAATATCATTGGTTTTCTATTTTAAAATTTTTTTGATATTTTTATGAATTTTTGGGCATATGAATGGTGTATAATTTTTTAAAAATTTTCTACCTAGTTTTTTCTAGTTAGATAATTTTTCATTAAATTATTAACTCTAATCCATTTTGGCTCTAAATCGAAAATAATTATATCATTAAACACTTATGATATACATAGAATGTACAAAGCCAACTACAAGAATATTTATTTAAGCATATGTATATTTTTATTTATGTAAATTCCTATTTAAATTTTGTTTAATTGACATTGATAATTTTTAAATTACATCTTTGCAATTTCATTTGTTGGTACCTATGGCTTAAGTCATTTCGATGATGAAGAGGGGTCGAAAAGTTATTTTAGTTGGATAATTTCAGGAAAATTTTATGGATCATTTTCATTAATTCTTTATAGCACCTACTAAGCATAATCGAGCAAAATTAATCTCATTATAACTTGAATATACAAAGAATACTATATTTGATTATTTTCTAGATATCCTTGATATTTTCATATCTCGTGGATAAATATCGATAATTATAAAATGATGGTATGAGAATAATAAGTTTATAACTAACGAAATAGAATTATATTTTTCTATGTTCAATATATCTCTTTTGCTTAATCTATCAAATATTAGAAAAGTCATTGATATGGAGATATCTAGTTTTGAAGGGTATCTTACATATAAGTATTTTTTATTAGAAGAATCAACCCATGGGGATTTGAAAAAATTGATAATAAATTTGCATCCAAGTGATGATGAGGAATTAGTGATGAATTTTTGTCTGATGTATGTATTATATGTTTTTGCCTACATATTATTTTGTCAAAACAACTATAGATATAGTGGTCCTTGGTATCAACTATTAGAAAAAAAGAATTTTGTGATGCATTATTTTTGAGAAAAAATAAAAAAATAATGTATTGTATAAATGTACTATTCAAAATAATCTCAAATTTTAAGGAAAGCTTTGAATATGATATTTATGGACATATGTCATTGATTTTTTATTTTAAAATTTTAAAATATTTTTATGGATTTTTTTAGGCATATGAACTATGTATATATTTACAAATTCTCCTTGTCTTTTGTATTTCTAGCAAATTATAATGAATCAATGAAATATTTTTGTCTATTTAAACTTCTAAATAGGTCAATAATATACATAGAAAACTTAGTCTAGGAAAGCAAATTTCTAATAGGCGATGCATTATTTTTGAGAAAAAAAATCAAAAATAGTTCATCACATAGATACACAATTCAAAATGATCTAAAATTTTTAGGAAGACTATGAATAGGACACTTATGGACATATGTTATTAGTTCTTTATTTTAGAAATTTTTTGATATTTTTTTTGGATTTTTGAGCATTCGAACAATATGTCATTTTTTATTTTCTCTTTTTTTTTGTATTTCTAACAAATTATAATGAATTTATGTAATATTTTTTCATATTTAAGCTTCTAAATTGGTCAATGATATATGTAGAAAATTTGATTAAGAAAAAAAATTATTAATAGGTGATATACTACTTTTGAGGAAAAATTAAAAATAGTGCATTGCATAGATATACTATTTAAAATGATCTAATTTAAAAAAAAAACTTTGAACATGACACTTATAAACATATATAATTATTTTTCTATTTTTAATTTTTTGGTATTTTTATGAATTTTTGAGCATATGAACAATGTGTTATTTTTTTCATTTTATCCTTGTTTTTTCTAGTTATATAATTTTTCATTTAATTATTAACTCTAATATCTTTTGGTTTTGAATAAAAAATAATCATATCATTAAACACTTATTATATGCATAGAATGTATAAAGTCAATTGCAATTGCAAGAATATTTATTTAAGCATATCTATGTTTTTATTTATATAAATTCCTATTTAATTATTATTAATAAATTTTAAATTATATCTTTATAGTTTTATTTGTTGATACTTGTGGCTTAGGTCATTCCGACGATGAAGAGGGTTCAAAAAGTCATTTTGGTTGAATAGTTTGTAGACAAAGCTTTGTGGATCATTTTTCTGGAATCTTTATAGTACCGAAGCAAAACTAATCTTATTATCATTGAATATTATAAGAAATATTATATTTAGTCATTTTTTTAATATCCATGATATTTTCATATTTCGTAGATTAATCTCGATAATTATAAAATGATTATCCTAGAATAATAAGTTTATAGCTAATGGAGTATAAGTATTTTTTTTTTTGTCCGATGTATATATTATATTTAATCTAAGAGAAGTTATTTATCTAAAGGTATTTAATTTGGAAAGGTATCTTATGTAAGTCTTTTTTGAAGGATCAATCCATAGGGATTTGAAAAAGTTGATGATAAATTTAAGTCCAAGTGGTGATGAGGAATTAGTGATGGACTTTGTCGAATGCATATATTATATATTTTTTACCTATACATTATTTTATCAAAGCAACTATAGATTCTAGTAGTTCTTAATATCAACTATTAGTCCTTAATATCAACTATTAGATTCTAGTAGTCCTTAATATCAACTTCTATTTATGTTTAATCTCAAATTGTTTTCAAATAATATAATCTTTAAGGCTTTTTGAAATTCAACCCTATCTTGAAACACCTATACAAAGACATTATTTGAGTTATAAAATAATATATATCAAATAAATGTAAGAAAATAACTTTTATGTTATACCTGACTAATGAAAAAATCATTATAAAAATAATCATCAACTAAAATAAAAGAAACTAGTGTGTTTAACAACACATAATCATCTTGATTATAATGGTATTTAGCAAGCACTTATTCAATATTATCATACATGTCCTCACTAAAAGCAACCTGCCTACCAACAACATCTACTGAATTATAAATATTAAGATTTCTAACCTCTTCTTGTATTATCTCTTCCACCAATTCATTTTCAAAAGATATTACCACTATCATTATCTTCATCACAATAAAATGGATCATTTGAGCCTATGAAAAGAGCTTTAAAACCTAAACTATTTAGTAAATGACTCTACTTAAACTTGATATATCACCTAACGTCTATCTATTAATATCATTAAGAACTAAAAATACTTCATCTGGAATAGGATCCTCCCTACAATGCGATGATTAGAAAGAAACCAATATTTTTTTGCAATCCATGAAAAAATCTAATACTAAAAGGGTAATAACACATTCACTTTTTAATTTATAGTAAAATATCATGCACTCATGCAATATTTCTTCGCATTTGATCATCTACTTAGGTCTCAAACACCTCATAAAAATTAGGCTCTTAAAAAATATTTTCTAATGTGCGATAGACTAGTTTTTTTTTGTCAAAACCTAAAAATAGTGCATCGCGTAGCAAGACTTAAAAAGATATCCTAAAATTTAGAAGATATATTCAGATTGGATTCAGATGGACATATGTAAGTTTTTTTTTTCTATTTTATGTGTTTTTTTTATATTTTTTCAAAAAATTTCAACTCCTATAAAGTGTACCATTTTTTATTTTTAAAATTTTTTATAATAATATCATACACACATGCATGTTTTTTGATATTTAACCCTTTTAATTATATCCCATACACCTGATAATAATTTGGTCATAAATTTTTTTATTAATTTGTGATGCATTATTTTTTACTAAAATTCAAAAGTAATACATCGCTAGTAGGATCGGTTGGATATAAATCAGTCTTTTTTTTATTTTTTTAAATTATATTTTTAGAATATTTCAATTCCTATATAGTGTGTCATTTTCTATTTTTCCCTATTTGTTTCAAATTTTAATAAAAATATCATGTGCTCATATAATATTTTTGATATTTGATATTCTAATTAGATCCCAAATGTCAATAAAAATTTGACCTTCAGAAATTAT